TGGAATAATTTTGATTGTAGCCGGCCACTTACCTTGTCATAGTAATGGAAATACGAAGAGAAACTGGATTTCGATGAATCTTCGGAGACAGCATTGTTAAGGAGATTTTCATTTCGTATGAAAGTGCATGAAGAAGAGATTCGTAGATCGATCTGAATCTAGTTGTACTTCAGTCGTTTAGCTTTTAGACGATGTTCAGGTCGATGAGAAAGGAAGTATCGTGGACTGCGTCAACCTGAACGTCGTATGAAAGCCAAACGGCTGCAGTACAATGGGATTCATCCGTCATTTTCTGGTGAGATCGACCTACAAAATCTTTTCTTCATGCACTTTCATACGAAATGAAATCCCCCCAACAATAGTAATGGAAGTTTGCTAAATGATCATTTCACGTTAAGGCGATGACTATCACTTGACAGAATAAAGCTCAAAATGTTTAAGTTAGAGTTGCAGATCAGCACGCACAAGTCTACTCTGGGTAAATCTCAAATAATAATTCCAAGTTTTTCGGTAAGGCCAAATTACAAAACTAAGTTAAAGTACGATAATATAGACCTGCAGCTAAGCGTTCTGATCTAATTGTTAAAGGGTAAGGCATTTAGACGATTTTGGCGATTAACTTGTAAAATATTCAACAGATTTGGAGCTGAGGTAGCCCCCGAGTTTTAGTTGAAACTGGATTTTAAATAGCTGTAGTCCCAAGGAACTTTTTATTCCCATATTCTGGCCATAAGAAGACAACGGTCCTAATGAAAAAATCTATCGCATCCCGACACTAGGCCTCTCCGGTGTCTTGGAGACTAGATTCGTAGCTCACTGTGAAATCAAACAGTTTGCTCACATTCTGGTGAGTGTGAGCGTTCCTGCCTGCATGTGCAATCACAACAAGGTTGGATCCTTATAAGATGGACATAATACTTACCTCTAGAGAAATGAGTGCTTCAGGCAATTTTATCTCGAATTCAACATCTTCGTCTTCAAGCAAAGTAGGGCCATTATGGAGCTCGATCGTAGTAATTTGTCCCAAATTCTGAATGACACTAAAATACTCCTGAAAAGTAAGGCAATAAATCTCAAGATTAAACGGGGAAGCCCCTTGTGACTCAAGCATTTTTTGTATCTAACAAAGTTAGCTACAACGAGTAACTACATAGCATGATGCGAATATACACTGATACAAATAATGTGTTTAAGATGGGAAATTAATTAATTACATCTTTAGTGCCATATGTTGAGTAGGTATGCAGGTAATAAGAACCTACTTTACGATTCAACGGGACCATAAATAGTGCTGATAATAAATATGTTTACATACAAATCTTAAGTAACAAACGTGGGCTTATATAAACACACTGAACTCACCTCACATATCCTCATCATTAATCTCGCTGTTTTGATATCTGAATCTATAAAGTTCACCACGATTAAATCGATGCGAGATTTCATTAGCTGCATTGATTTCCAAAAGTACCTGAGCATGCGGTATCGCTTCAGCAAGTAAGGAGTTGCTCTTCCTAGTTGAACACGCAAATGGTTTATTCGATGCCATCCACATTGAAACTATAAAAGTTCCCGAAAAAAAATATAAATTATATAATCCCCAAGTTACTTGAAGATATGAAACTAATGTAAATAAAAGCGACGCAATTGTTTAAAGTGTATAATTACTGGATCAAGAACCGGTCTGAGCTGCAGAGAATGTAGGCATGAGTGAAATGATAAAGGCGATCTGGTGAACAGATAACCATAGAATTAACCACATTAATCTACTCTTTACCCTCTAATCCCGCTGCCGCCATATCACAACTTCTCACTTGTTTACATCCCACTCGTCAAAATGTGGGTCCTTTGTGGCAAATCTAATAGGGCCTCATCACACTTGCGATTCACCCCGATCCCCTCTCTTTCGATCGGCTGATCCGATTCGGGCCTCCAATTCGGATCCTCTTATTGTCTCGAGGATCGGTTCCTTATCTTTCTGGTTGACCGGTTTCACTCGGTTGTAGTCCCAGTGTGCATTTCATTATGAGAATGTACCAAGTCCACTGTCTGATGCTAGGAATCGTGACAAGTACTATGGCAGACGACTTCGGACTAGGTGCGTTCTACTAAGTCCACCTAACAACAAGACCAAGTTGCCTCAACAAGGTCAACCCACTTTTATAAATCGAAAGGAGACTGTGACCATACC